CGACAGCCGTGCCCCGCGGGTGCTGGGCCCGGGCCGGAGCTGGTTGCCGGTAGCTGGGTTTGCCCCGTCGCGTTCGGCAGAGGGGAAAAGCCCGGTGCTCCGAAACGGGACTGCTACGGCGGTCGGGGGAGGAAACGCCTCTCTTTCCCCCGCTGTGTCGTTAAAACAACACCGGCAACAGCGCCACGGGAAATTTTTTCACCGAAAGGGCTGTTAAGCATTGGAACGGGCTGCCCAGGGAAGTGGTGGAGTCCCCATCCCTGGAGGGATTTAAAAGACGGGTGGTTGAGGTGCTTAGGTGACGTGCGGAAAACGGGACTCCAGAATCTGTAAGATTGTAAAGTAGGTGTGTTTCTTCAGCCCTGGGCAGCACGGGGGGTACCACCGAACCCCTGCGCGCGTGTGTGGTAGCTTGCCTTGAAGTTATACTACAAAGTGTTACATATACATAAGATTCCCAAATACGCCTATACATATGCACGACTTGTCCCCGCTTCGTATTAAAATTAGCCCCAAGAAGTCGTTTCCATAAAGTCCTCCCGACTGCGCTTGCGCAGTGTCTCCTGGTGGTGGTCGCGGGGGGTCGTGGGGGATGAAGGGCGATGACTCCTCTTCGTCACCGCTAGTAACCCCTTGTTCTTGCGCAGACTCAGTTGCTCCTTGGTTCTTGTCCGAACTGCAGGGTCGGTTTTAGCTGGTCCTCAAGGCGACTTCCAAGAACTTGTTCGATAGACAATAGTGAGCACGTTTTAAGCAACATCTTCTCTGCTAGGATCCCCTTTTCATAGGGACATGGCTTAGTGGTGGGGTGGCAGTGTTAGGTTAACGGTTGGACTTGATGATCTTCAAGGTCTTTTCCAACCTAGACGACTCGATGGTTCTGCGAATGCCCGCTGCCAGCTCCGTGTTACCGTGAGGGTGGCCCGGGGGCCGCGGCAGGGAGGAGCCTCCTGGGGGGGGGAGCAGCCCGGTCCGGGGGCGATCGCTTACTGCAGCAGAAAAGGGACTAGAGGAGAATAAAGGGAGGATGCTACGGCCCACAGGGGTTTATCAGCCAGGCGACGTGGGAGTTCGGTTATGGTTTTATATGAGCCATTATGCTGCAGACGGCAGTGTCTTCTTCCCCCAGTGCAGAGAAACCCACACTAGCTGTTACCTCCCTCTCAAAAACTCACCAAGGGAAAAAAGCCAAGAGTGCAAAACAAAAGCCTCCTCCACTCCTAAGCAAGACCCATGATGCCAGCTTGGTTGGACATCGGTAGTCCTGGATGTCTTTGTCCTGACCCTATGATTTGATCACCTTCCCACACCCACCGGCAGCCCCACTGCTCAGCCTCAGCAGTGCTGAGGGATGGCTCCAAGGCGCTGCATCCACCAGATCACCGCCTGCTCAGCTGTTTGAAACCCCTGTGGTGTTCCTCACCACAACCTGCTAAGAGCACAACAGGCAGAGGCTGGGGTCATCTACTGTGAGGAGGGTTTTATTTCAAATACTTTGGAGATATTTGGAGGACTGGATAGGGAGGGTTATCCCGCATGCAAGTATTCTTTCATGAACAATTTTAGCTGAAACTTTCCATGTTGGGGGAGTGGGGGGAGATAGGGAATGGGAAGGGGGGTGGGGACAAAGGGGAAGGAGGTAGAGGAAACCGTTTCAACCCCAAGTTGAGCCTGTTGTTGCAGTGTAGAGAGAAGCATGGGTTGTTTGTGCTACAGAGCAAGCTTTACTGACTGATAGATTGTGCCTTCCAGTCTCTCTCAGCTGGAATTGGGGGTTTACATATAGTAACAGCAAGTGGGTCTGTCAAGGTAATAATGATGATTGACCTGTTCCCATGTCTACAAATGCCTGGCCAGGTTTGCCTGGCTTATGAGCTGCTGACAAAAGAGCGCTGCCGTTCGGATGCTGCAGGCTCATGCACAGCAACTTCTGCCCTGCTCTGAAGAGCCAGTCTGTGGCCTGGGTTGTGCACATCAGTTAACTGCCCTCCTGACCCATCACATGGGGAGGAACTTGTACATCGGCACGTTAGAAAGAGGTCCAGGTGTACGGGACAGCGGAAGGACCCAGCAGGGAGTGCTCCCCAGGAGGGCCATCATTTCTGCCTCTCCCTGGTCTCTCCTATTGGCAAGCCTGTATGAAAATGAACTTCCCTGGGGCTCTGTCCACATGATCCGTCTATACTGTGCCCATTCCTTTTTCAGCTCAAAAAATCTGTGTTATCTTCAAAGAAGTCTGAATAATGCTGGCAGAAACCAGGTTTCCGTGTGAAATACCTTTACTGCTTCCGCTCTCTGCTGTCCATCTTGTCAGTAAAATACATGAAAAGCTGAAATTGCACATATTTGTAAAACAGACCAGAATCAAGACTGCCTTTTTTATCCCCTTTCTGCATTATTTTTGATGTGAAGATAATATGGTGTGCTGTTTTCTACTTGAAATAGGGTCCAGGAGTGAGTTGTAGCTGGACAGTGAAGGAGAAGCTGTCTATGGTAACTCTGTCACTTTGGGTGCAGACATCAGAAAGTATGTGTCAAGCAAGGCCACAGAAAGGGAAAAGGACAACTCTAGCAAGAGACATCTGCTTTGCTGTTTGGACCAGAATAATCAGAGGAATCTGTGTAAGTCACATCTGGGGAGGAAATTTTTTTTTTTTTTTTTCTCCCCACATGCTTCTCCTAGGTGTATTGCCTTGCTGTACATACCCTGTGAGGACTAGTCTGGGGCCGCAGGGAGCTAAGAGCACTCAGAGCAGCTCTGTGCAACTCTATTCCTCTGCTCTACAACAAGTCTCCCATGAACAGGGGTACCACTTGTTACTGGCAGCACACCAAGGACAGCAGTAGGATTAGTGTTGAAGGAGAATGGCCCCACCTGCCCTGCACCTCCTCATTCTCTCCTGGTTCTCTGCTTTTGCTTGATACATCTCCATCAGTCCCTTTCTCCCCAGCGTCAACCTCTCTTCCCCACACCTCAGCCCACTCTATACCCTCTTTTCATCCTGGCTTTTATTTTCAAGAACGGGCAGCTTAAGCCAGATGTCACAGGTGCTTCTCAGTTAACTGGTTTCTTGCTTTGTAGGTACTTGTACTCAGGTACCTGTGGTCTCTTGTGTGTGAGCATATGTGATGACACACTGAACAGTCACGGCTGTAAAAAAAAAAACAACTCAAAAAAACTGTGTTTGTTTTCTGCCAGGGAGGGAAATGCTAAGAGAGTAGGTATGTGAAAGAAGGTTTTCAGCAATGGGGCAGTTGAAGTCTCTGTACCTTGGTTGTAAAATGGGTGTGGAACAACTTAGTGTTGGGAGAGGATTCTGCATCCAAAGCAGGTTTCCAGTATCGAGCACTTGTGGTAGGAATTACAGGATCATACAGGTTGGAAGAGACCTCAGGAGGTCTGTTCAAAGTAGGATCAACAATGAAGTCAGACCAGTTTGCTTAGGGCTCAACCTAGTCTTGAAAACCTCCAGTGATGGAACCTGCAGAACCTCTCTGGGCAACCCACTCTACTGCTGGACCAGTCCTAAGATAGAGGCTGCAGTCCAACCTTCGGATAGAGTAC